GTTTTTTTTTATTTATAACAAAAATTTCTTTCGTTTGATTATTTTTGTCAATGTTCTGACAATTCTATTTCTTGTTCTTGTAATCTTGCAATCAAGTATACTCGTCTTTTTTCAATCCAAATTTTCATACAAATGTCAAACATCATTAAGAAGGAACATACTATTAATTATAACAAAAAAAAATTAATCACATTGTTTAATATTAATAATACATTATAAAAAAATTGATAATTTGAACGTACTTATTAATACGATTCCAATTATTTTCTCATTACAATGATTTTGATTATTAATTATCGGTTTAATTGTATAATATCTAATGATACCTGATAAACCTGCTATCCAATATAAAATAATACCAATCAGAAAATAAGTGAATTCCTAATTCAAGAAAAAATATTATTACAATAAAATGTTCATATTATAATTTATATATTATAAAATGTTAAACACAAAATAATACCATAACGTTTTTATTTTTTTGAAAAATATGTGCTAAAATCAAGACTAGTAAAATAATTGCATAAGTCGTTGAATTTATCGAATATATTATCCATAACCATACTGGTATTGAATATTCTTCGCATTCCGATAAAATATTCATACAAACGCATGCTAAAACCTAAATCTTATTTTGTTATAAATATTATTACTTGTAAATTCAAATTTTGATTTGATAATTTACTTACCAATTGTATTATTTTTAACAAAAGACTATATTCTTTTAAAAGACGTTTTACAAAATTATTCATGTGTCAAATGAATTTATTAATCAATCTGAAGTTTATCACGGGTATAACATTAATTATGTAAACTATAAAAATATTCGTATAACTCATCAATTATGGTTGTATTGTCCAAATAAAATTTAAATAAACATTGTTTATAAAACCGAATAATGATCGAGAGTAACATCTCGACTGCAAAGGGTTTAATAATGTAATAATTCAAAAAAATAATCAACATATTAAAAATTAAAAAAAGTAAACTTTATTCTCGTATGAATTGCACGAGTTTTTTTATTATAATAATAATCATACACATTCATGCTTTAATTAAATAAATAATTATATTGAAATATATTCAATCATCAGCTTCAACAGGTCTATTTGCTTGTTGTTGTCTTGTTCCTCTACCACGTGATGGATTTGATCCTTTTCTTCCAGTTTTTATTATTAACAATAATAAATCGATCACTAGTATCACCACAGCGACTATTGATAAAGATAAATACAATCAATTTTAAAATTATAATAATATTTTGTTTTTGTAGACTATTACAATGATACAAAAAGAATAATAATTATTTAAAAAAATTAATTACTAGTTGATAATCCAACAGATATGCCGAAAGATCTTTCGTTGTGTCCTATAAATGAATAGTATTTTAATTTTTTAATTTATTTATTTAAAGACAAATTATTAAATAATTTATTTACTTATTTACTTACGATAAGTTCTGTTATTATAAATTGTAATTGTTTCATCATCGTCGTAATAATCGTGAACCAAAGCAAATGTACTAATTAATAACATTAGTATTGTGAATATAATCATGCAACATTCCTAAAAATACAAAATTTTATATATATATATATAAATAAATATTATAATATAAAAATATAAAATAAATTTAAAAAATATAAGAATTATTTGTATATATTTTATATAATTATAATTTTAATTATAAAATTAAATAATAAATTTATAAAATATTATAAAAAATAATAATTATATATTATTATAATAAATATAATTAATATATAATTATAGATATTTTATCCAAATAATATATAATTAATTAATTTTACTTAAATAAATAATTAATTTGCTATTAATTACCCAAATGAAGGTAGTATCAAACCACGTGTAACCATAAAGTATTATAACAATGTTTATAAATCCTGTATAAAAGTAACCAGTACCAAACGCGTAAAATCGATGACATGCAGCATAAGTATCAAAAAAAAATAAATGTATGCATAATAGAATAGCCTAAACGAATACAAGGTTTATTATATTAATATTTATGAATTAAAAATATAATAAAATCTATTTATTGATTAGAGGTTAATTAATAATGCTCACGAAAACAATTATTTTTAAAACGAAATGAATGTTTTTCCATAATTCCTGACAACTGCGACCCATTTTATTTTATCTCGTGTACAAATCCAATTATTTTTCTTTTTTCTTTGACAATTCGTGTAATCGAGAAATATATTTTTTATGATGTTAATTTATTTTTGCAATAGAGATATCGATATCGATGGTAACGATCGATTTCAATAAATGAGGGAAAATTATTATACATATCAAGTGTGTTTTTGTTGTTGTTAATTTACTTTATTAATAAAAAAAAAACAATACATTTTTGTTTACATTAGAAATCGTGGGAAGTGATTTTGTTGTAAATTATTATTAAAGAAAAAAAAATTAATATATATATAATCATTAACAAGTCATATGAGAAAATAAATGCACAAAAGATTCGATAATTTCATCTTACGAAATTCGTCACGCATGTTTGTAGTATAATTATTTAATAATAATGAATTTTTTCTTTTTTAATCTTTGCATTAATAATCGTCTTATTTGTTATTATATGTAACGAAAAATATTTCAATGAAAGATGATGCGATTTTTAATACGATGATGTAATATATATATGAATGAAAATTATTTTGTGACATTATGATTAATCGTTTTTGATGTATCATTATGGAATGAATTAATTTTTTATATGAAAATATTCTCTCTTGTTATAATATTTGATAAAAACCATTAATCATATTCCTCCTTTGTCAAATGTCGGACACTTAATAATAAGTCCGTAAGATATAATACTCCTTCTATAATACACAATGAACCAAGTGCCAATCCAACCTAAAAAAAATAATTAAATTCATTATAAATAAATATTAATATTTTTTTTTAATAATAAAATAAAAAAATAAATACCTCTCTTTCTGGTACTAAATATTCAAATTTATGTTCTGCTTGATATCCATGCCAATAATGTAAAGCTGTGCCACCAACTGCCAGGAACATGCAAAGCCCAAGGAAGTTCATAATAATGTCCTAAAAAAAAATAAATAAAAAATCAGGGAAAGAAAGATGAAAATATAATAATAATAWATATATATATATATATATATATATATATATATATATATATATTTTATATTAATWRTA